ATTTCTGGAACAATGGATCTTGGCGTTAACGAATTAGCCTTGAGGAATGAAGATATCGAGAGCTAGGTCAGCGTCGTCTTTCCTCCCTCCTCCCTCCCGGGTGGACACGTCATAATACTTTAAGCCAATTACAGCTAGCACTTGTAGAGGTAGGATGCATGGCCCAATCTGGGTCTTATGCGTCATATGGCGTCAGTGATCGCAACAAAGACACACTCGCCTTATACGCGCTTGCCCAGCGGAGGCAGGCGGGTGGCGATGAGGAAAATCTAAAAATAGCGTCGCGCGGACACTCTCCGGCAATAGCGTTCGCTGACCTTACGCGAAATGTGAAAATGTTGGGATTCTGGCAAAACTTGTGATAACGGTGAAAGCGGAATCTTGGAGCCGCTTAATGTGAGGACCAACCAACTGTAATTAATTAGCGGTTTATTGAAAAGTCGGAAGCCGAAGGCATACAAAGACATAGGGTGGGTGGGTCATTTAACTAAAGCTTTCCTTACTAAAATAGAAGGAACAATGATTGAACATACAATTATTATAGTTTACAGTTGATGGCGCGAGGCGTGGGCTGGTCATGGGGACACCAAGTGGTGAGGTGTTCCACGTGGTGTAGTAACTCATCCTCGGGTGTTGATATGAAGGACCTCCACGTGGTCATGGAGACACCGGGTGGTGTGGTGTTCACGTGGTGTAATGTACTCGTCCTCGGGTGTTGATATGAGAGCGTGGTCATGGAGACATTGGGTGGTATGGTAACGTCCTCAGGTGTTGATATGAAGGACCTCACGTGGTCATGGAGACATCGGGTGGTGTAGTAACTCGTCCTCGGTGTTGATATGAGGGACCTCCGTGGTCATGGGGACACGGGTGGTGTGGTGTTCACATGGGACAATCCTCAGGTGTTGATATGAAGGACCTCCACGTGGTCATGGAGACACGGGTGGTGTGGTGTTCCGTGGCGTATACTCATTCTCAGGTGTTAATGAAGAACCTCACATGGTCATGGAACCGGGTGGTGTGGTGTTCCGCGGTAAACTCACCCACAACCCCACGTTCTGGTGCAGCAACTCGGCCTCAGGTGTTGATATGAAGGACCTCACATGGTCATGGAGACACGGGTGGTGTGGTGTTCACGTGGTGTAGTATCACATTCTCGGGTGTTATCACGAAGGACCTCCGCGTGGTCATGGGGACACGGGTGGTGTGGTGTTCACGTGGTACAGTGCTCGGCCTCAGGTGTTGATATGAAGGACCTCACGTGGTCATGGGGACACTGGGTGGTGTGTTCATTCGCGTGGTGTAATCTTTCATCCTCAGGTGTTGATATGAAGGACCTCACATGGTCATGGGGACACCAAGTGGTGAGGTGTTCACGTGGTACAATAACAAATCCTCGGGTGTTGATCTGAGGACCTCCGGTGGTCATGGGGACACGGGTGGTGATGGTGTTCCGCGTGGTGTAGTAACTCGTCCTCCGGGTGTTGATCTGAAGGACCTCACGTGGTCATGGGGACACGGGTGGTGTGGTGTTCCGTGGTGTAATACTCGTCCTCGGGTGTTGATCGAAGGACCTCACGTGGTCATGGAACACGGGTGGTGTGTGTTCGTGGTGTATAACTCGTCCTCGGTGTTGTCGAAGGACCTCACGTGGTCATGGGGACCCGGGTGGTGTGGTGTTCACGTGGTGTAAGTAACTCGTCCTCAGGTGTTGATCGAAGGACCTCACGTGGTCATGGGGACACCGGGTGGTGTGGTGTTCCGCGTGGTGTTAGTAACTCGTCACCGGTGTTGTCTGAAGGACCTCCCGTGGTCATGGGGACACCGGGTGGTGTAGTGTTCACGTGGTACAGTACTCGTCCTCGGTGTTGATCTGAAGGACCCTGCAGTGATGTTGTGTTATCCCATAGTCAGGTGCATAGCCAGCCGGCCTCTGTTGTTCCCAGGGTGGATGGATTAGCACCTCCTTGTCAGAGATGGTGGTTGTAGTTCAAGGGTGCTTATCTCACTGCTTGAATTACTTCTTTCACTGGTACTATCTAGTGCTGGTCACTGGCTTAAACTGTTCATCACTGTTCAACACTGATCCACTTCTTTCCCGAACAAATTGTCACTTTGATTATGCAGATATCCCGGTGGTGAGGATGGGTTGGGGGAGAGGACTTGGGAATGGGCCGACATTGGCCAAGGGACAACTAGCGGAGGCAGCTAGCCCTGAATAGGTCTTGACCCTCACCACGGTGGTCAAGGATGTAACATTGTGTGTGTGTGTGTAATAATAATAATAATAATAATAA